TTACTGACTGAATGTTTCTGGGCCTCAAATTTCTCATCTGTGAACACGGGGGGTCATGTAATGATAAATCAACTGAGAAAGAGTCTGTGAAAATGCATGGCCAGAAAACATGGAAAGAAGTTTAAAGACCCACTGAGTTAGTTTCTTCCCTGTGACCTAAGCAAGCAAATTCAAGTCAGATTGGTCTGAAAGTACAATGTTTATGGATGCCTTCTACCTTTATCCTCTCCAAAGGTCCTCTACTGGAAGGATTCACTTGATATGAAGAGTCAGTTCAGATTTGCTCAGTCCTTCCCAAACTGTGAACTGAGTGCCAATAGTGGCTTACCAAATGTTTCTGGAGACCTATTCACCACTACTGCTTGTCTTTGGCAGTCTTTTTACTTCTAAATGAAAGATAAGGATCAAAGAGAATGATCAAGAATAGCCCAAAAGTTGCCAATATGACCGCCGTCTGAAAAAAAAACCTAGGTTTGGGTATAAACATTTCATGGTGCTCAGTGAGGATCACTCGTTGAGACAGATTTCTCCCTACATTTGAGGTGAAGTATTTTCAGTGGTGCCTAACTTCCTTACTTTTTTTAAGGGTACGGTGGAAAGAATATATGTTTGAATGGAATGTACGTGTAAAGTTAGAGAAAATAAAATCGCGAAGGCCTAACACAAAGAGCTAAGCCACAATTCAGAACTTTCTCTGAGGTTGAAAAGGAAGTCTGTCAGCCCTAGAATTAACTGAGCCATGGTGAGAAGCACAGAAAACTGGATTCTTGGTGAGCTGCTGATACCCCCAAGTAAGAAATAAAGCAAACACATGGAATTAGCCATACATGACTTCAAACCACTGTCTATTGGTCAATCACAAAGACTCATATAACAGAATGAAAAAACCTTAAATCATATAAAGTTCCATACAAGAAAAGCCACATGATTGGAAGTCTTAAGGAAAATCAAAGTTTGACTTCAAAAAAGCTTTCCTCTGGGGGCAAAAGAAAGATGGCAGCATCTGCCTTCAATCCATTGTTGACTTGTTAGGATTAGCACACTCTATGGTAACTTCTCAGGGCTAATTTCACAAAAGATAAGCAATCTACTATTGAGAAACCAAGACAAATCACTAAAAAGTTATATCAGAGACTAACAACTGTACCACAATTTACTAACAAAAAAATAGAACATCAAACTCATCTTCGGGGTAGGTAAGTTTGTGCAGTTGATTGCCTACCTCCCAATTACAGACATGAAAACTCCCAACGGCCAATTTAAAATCAATTGTTTCACAGAATCTGTATCTTGGTTAAAACTGAACAAAGATTAATATCTGGTCACAAGATCTAAGTGAGTGGGAAATGGGAGAAAGAAATATTCATGGTGAAGTTTGTACATACATGGACAAATCCACATTTCCACGGAGGAAGCAAAATAAACAAGATTTATTTCTCTGAACTTCCGCAGAACATGTTAGAGTTTCATTTTTACACCAACTAAAGTGGTTGTCTACTTGTTTTATGAGTGTAAGCCTTATCTCTTGCAGCAAAATACTAAGTTCTCAAGGAGTGGAACCAGGTTTTGCACAGCATATACAATTTGAAGGGTCCTCTCTAAGAAAAAGAATACAAAATTGTGAACATAAATGATGTAAAGGGTATTGCAAGTAAGTGAGGGGCCCTGGAGGTCAAGTACCAACAACTTTACAGTAAATTCACCGCAAGGATGAAAACTGACCAAGCCTTATATTTGTTTCACCCAAATAGTGTCTTTCAGAGTACCGGGTATTTTATAGGCATTCAGCACTTGTTGATTCCACTCATTTCAGAAGCAAGCAAAGGACAGGAGTAGGAGATAAAATTTAAGGCCAAGCCTTGGCTCATCCAACAGGTCAAGATAAATCTTAACTCTTTTGTTCAGTTATATCTTAAATGATAGTTTGAACTAAATGTAATTTGTTATGTAATCTGTTATTTAATAACTGTCATCCAGTTAATCTTATAAAAATCAAAAACTGTATACCTCCCATGAAAGAACAAAGAGAAGATTCAAAAAATCATCAAATAAAACCTGGATGTACATGAGTCACAGACTAAACACTCTAGTTCCTGTGTGTATGTCCACTATTTATGATGAACAGCTGGAATTCACATGCATTCCTTCACTGGCTGTGGGCATCTGTGGCCTATTATCAGTAGAGCTACCCATAAGAAGAGGAGGTTGTCAATTCCAAAGAAAACTTGTAGGAGTTTTTGAGGTGTTGACCTGTTTACTCATACTGTCTGCCAACACTATACCGCATGTACTGCACCCTTTCTATATTTATGGATAGAAAGAAAATTCATATAGTTCTCCAAATTCTATTTATAGGTGTTGATATCATACAAGCAAACAAAATATGAAAGAAATGACTTACTAATCCCACAAGTTTATACTCTAGGCTTAACATTTTTAAGTGCTTAACATTTTAAGTGCATACAAAAAAGTACAGAACTTCCTAACCATGCTGAGGTCCAGAGTTATCATATCCAGATCAATGTATGATAAAGGATAGGCATTTTTCAATATTCCTGAATATAAACATATGAATAACCATTGGTTCAAATGATTTCATTCTACATTGCATCTATGAGAAAAATAACTTGAGAAAAACCCACTGTTATCAATAATCTTAATCACATTGAAATAGAATTTTATTATTAAAGGCCTTATTTACGAGGGATAGAATGACCACATAAAAATTTATTTTACATGTCTTCATGAAAAATGTTAATAAACACCTTTTAAAACCAAGGGAAAAACAAGGAAAAATATTTCCAACACATGATAAGCAAAAAACTAATGTCATAATATTAAAGAGTTATAATTAGATGATAATAGTCCCAAATAAAAATAAGTAAAGGATGTGAAAAGATATAAACAGAAAAACACAAAGGCCCAGTAAATGTTTTAAAGATGCTAAACCTCACTCACAAATGTAAGAAACTTAAAAACAATGAGCTATTTTTCAATGGACAGATGATGGTAGAAATGGTTTCAAGAGTAGATGTGAAAATATTCACAGTTCACAAGGGTGTGGGGAAAGCAAGGGAACAGGCCGCTCATTCTCTGAGGCCAGAACTGTGGTCGGTGCAACTTTCTGAAGGGCAATTTAGCAATATCTTTCACATTTTAAAATATTTATATATTCTGCCCTATCGATCACTCTTCTATGAAATGATCGTATAGAATTCTCAAACGAGTACTTGAAAGATATATATTTAAAGACACTCTTTGAAGCATTGTTTAAAAATTTTAAAAACAGGATTGACCAGATGGCTCTGTTGGGTGGCATCTGGCTTCAGTTCAGGTCATGTGATCTCAGGTCTCATGAGTCCGAGCCTGGAATAGGGCTCTGTGCTGACAGCTCAGAGCCTGGAGTCTGCTTTAGATTCTGTCTCCATCTCTCTCTGTCCCTCCCCCATTCACGCTCTGTCTCTGTCTCTCAAAAATAAATGAACATTAAAAAAGACCTTTTAATAAATAAAAATTTTAAAAACAAATTAAAAAACTGGAGAGAGCTTAACTTTCCATCCATAGAATAATCTACTCAAAAAATATTATAAAGCCACCAAAAAGAATATGGTAAATCCAGTTATATGTGATTTTGAAATAACTGTAACTTACATTTCTTAAGCTTTCAATATGCTGGCCACTGTTTTAAGCCTTTCACATATGTTAATTCTCTTAATGAATAAAAAATCTCCAAGACAGAGAAGTAAAAACGTTGCAGAACAGACTCTACTATGATTCTATTTATGTCTTATAAAAATATGATATTTTGATAAATATCATATATGAATAAATATTATATAACTGTATATAATGCACACACACACACACACACACACATACAAGCCCAGAAAATTTGGTGAAGAATACAAAAGAATGGTTTACAGTAATCACCTAAGAGGAATGGAAAATGTTTACTTTTTACAATTTTCTGAATTGTTTGAACTTTTCACTATACACACGGATACTTCAGTTTTTAAAATGCTAACACGTATTATCTGCCTAATTAGATTACGGTCTAATTTTTTTTTCTTCCTACTTGTACAATTTTTTTAAAAGCCTAATGAAAGATATTTGGGGAAATGTAGTAGGAGAAAACAGAAACGTTTCTTTTTATACCCTTCTATGAGCCCATGAGCACATAATGCTTCCAAAACTTTTAAAAGAACTAATTAAAAGTCAGTAGTCAACTACTCCAACAAAAACAGCCTATCTCATTTCCTTTCTTATGCAGGAAACCCCAAAATATAAGGATTTAAATGAGAACTCTCCAGTCTCTAAAACAATTGTTTGGCTGATGGTTTTTCTTCCTCCCACTGTCAAGTCAATTTAATAATATACTAAAAGGTCAAGTTTAATTATAAATAAAGCAAAAAGAAGGGGGGAAACAGAATTATCAGTATGTGAAACATAATATACACTGCTCCACTATCTGTAACATACGCCTAACAACATAAACCGAGGATAATAATCATACAGCAGTCAGTGCATAGTGATTGTTAATAATATTACCATCATTATTGAAGCTACCACCCATTAGATTCTTCCCCTGGATCTAATACTGAGCTCCATATTTCATATATTAGCATATTTAATTCTTCCAACAACCCAATAAGATTCCTAGTTAATGGCTTATTTACTAGAATAATATAAAATTATTAAAATACGGAGAAAATTTTAGGGGGCAAACAGTAACTACAATCTATGTACAACAGAGTGTAGATTTATGGCATGAACTCCCCAATATTTTATAGATTTTTCTAAGTACTTCTAGAAATAAACCATAATGTGGCTCCTGAAAAGTCTTCAAGCCACGTGTTGCAGAGTATTTCCTTCCAGTGAGTCCTTCCTTATACAGCCCTCTCTACGTACTGAGTGCAGGTGACTTGGAAACTCAGGCCTCCACTCTGCTCAAGGCCTTTCTCGACGTTTCTGTCATCTCTCAGACTGCTTTAGATTCTTACCTGTCCAGCAGCAGTTCCAGCACCTCTTTGGTGGAGGCAAAGCCTCTGTATGTTGACAGGAAGATGCTGATATAGGTAAAGTCATTGTCCCCAAAAGCCGTCAGCAGGTTCTCTACGAGCTTCTCCAAGGTGCCCGCTTTTATGGTCCTGATCTTACAGGTCTCGTACTGACTGACCGTATGTCCTGGAGGGAGCTGGTCCCCTTCAACCTGTACAAGAAATTCGTTATGATTATGATCAGGCAAAAAGACTCCCTAAAGGAAAACCACGATCACTGGAACGGTGGAAGCAGAGCATATCGTGTTTTCCATGCTCTTCTTTAATTCCCCTACAAGCCATGTAAAGCAACCATCCCCGCCCGTGGGCATAGTAGAGTGAGGCAGTGGTGATGGTGTTCGAGCTGCTTTATTTCATAGTGGCTACACTTGTTTCTACTTAATCCCCTGTCAAGAACTAGGTTGCTGGCGTATTTTATCAAGAATGTTTTCCGTGACCCCAGGATCAAGTTTAGCAAAAGTAATCAATCATCCCCTTTGTACTGTTCCATGGTACGTTGTCAAACTCATTCTTTTTTTTTTTATAGTTTATTGTCAAGTTGTTTTCCATATAACACCCAGTGCTCATCCCAACAAGTGCCCTCCTCCATGCCCATCACCCATGAACTCACTCTTTTTTTTAATTTTTAAATGTTTTTTATTTATTTTTGAGAGAGAGAGAGAGAGAGAGAGAGAGACAGCATGAGTCAGGGAGGGTCAGAGAGAGGAAGTCACAGAATCCGAAGACAGCCTCCAGGCTCTGAGCTAGCTGTCAGCACAGAGCCTGACGCGGGGCTCAAACCTATGAACCGTGAGATCATGACCTAAGCCGAAATCAGACGCTTAACCGACTGAGCCACTCAGGTGCCCCAAACTCATTCTTAAAGACAGCTCCTACAGTGGTGTGCTGGAGCTGACTCCTACTGGATTTGGAGAGCTGATTGTTAAATTCTTAGGATTTGTGTGAGTCGGCTGACATATCACCAGGCTGAAAAATTAGGAGTATATTTGGGTATCTGTGGAGATCTGACCATGATCTGGTGTTCTTCAGTCCACAAGAAGCAATATCCTTCCTGATTCAATATCATCAGGATTCAACATAATTGACCAAGAAGTGGCTATACTAAACAACACTGGGATAACCTCTGGGGAGTAATGGGAAAGGTGGGTGTGTGTATGACCCCTGCTTTCCGGAGACTTGCACTGCTCAAGACCAGACGTGACAGCTCATGAGAAGTAGCTGTCATATGAGAATGAAACTGTGAATAATACGGGCAGGTACAACTGCACCCTGGCAGACGTAAAACATAAGAACTGATTATTGATAAAGATACGTAAGCTTGAACACTGAGTATGAGGGAAGAGAAGCAAACTGAAAACAGAGCTGTGCCTTACATCCTGCAATAAATCTGTGCCTAACAAATGATACAAAAATGCAATTTTCAGCTTAACTTGTCCTTCATTAGCACGAAGATGACCTACCCAGAGGATCCTTTTCTAAAGCAAATAATCACCTTCAAAGATGGAAACAATCCCCAGGCAGGTTTTCTGAATTGTAAGTTTCAATTGCTCTATGTCAGGTTTTCCTAAACTGAAATAACAGGACGCGTGAAAATTAAGGAAGAGGAGCAAAGAAGAGGGGAATGAATCTCTGAACGACGACACGGTGCTCACTGAGTAGCACATTTGCTTTCTCTTCACCTGGCCTGTCGCATGTTAAACCACCGGGAGGAAATTAGCTGGCAAGATTGCCTCCAGTAAGGCCGAAGTGGTGGCAATCGCTTTCAGAAAAGGGTTAGAAGAGCTGAATCTCATTACGTCTAACTGCTAAGAGGAGTTACCATTAAGACTCCAGGTTCCACAGTGGATGACTTTATTTCTTTATTTCACTCTCGAAGGATACTTTCACTTTACCAAGGGAGGGATCTGGTTCAGGCAAAATACCAGATGTTTCTGTAGGCCTCGAGGCCCCTTCCACCTGTTGACTCTGACCACGGCCTGATAACTGCTCTTTATCACTCTCTGTGAAAACACGCCTAATAGTATCCATCTATCCTCACAGGAGTGTCAACTCGCTTTAAGCAGAAACTATAAATGAAGAGGATGTATGATTTCAAAGTCTAATTTCTTGTTTTACTAGTTAGTACGGGGTTGTCCTACCTAAGTAGGTGCTGTAAAACACGAGTTCTAAAACAAAAGGTCTTGTGGTCAAGTTTGGGAGCTATAGAGTAAAACAAAGTCAAATACATTTCTTTCGTACTGAATTTCTTAAAGTCTTCAATATGCCCACACGTGATGAAACTCTAAGAGACGGACACATGATCATGATAACGTGATCCTTCCAAATGGACTTCCCTTTACTCTGAAGCATCTTGCAGATCGTCAGGACGAACATATTTTAGAAAATGTTAGCTTAGTAAGTCACTGCGATGCATTTAAACCATCATTCACTTTTGCCACTTCTCACTTAAAAAAAAAAGACATTATAAAACACAGTGTTAATTTTTATCTCCAAATATCTCTATATGCCTTTGACGTCTTTCTTAATATCAACGCGTAAAGGTGTTTTCTACTTTTTACTCTGTCTCTTCAAAAGATCTGATCCCAAATAAATGATCAGCCTGGTAATATGAAAGAGCAGTTTAAAAAATAAGCTTCAGTGTCAAATGTTAACAACAATGAAAGGAATGGCTTCTCATTCTCCAGGGATATTCAAGCTCTAGTTCTAAATCAAGCTTCCTTACTTTGTGACAATGTTCCCTTACCAGACAATTTTGCAATTTGAGGGTTCTTCTTTACTCACAAGGCAAATTCCACTTTACATCTTTTCTTATGGAAGTAGAAAGCTACTTAAAAGAACAGGATTTTTCCCTGAGCACCGATGTAGCCAAAAATTCACACACAGAGAAAAATGTTTGTCAAAGGGCCTGATGAAGTGGGTCCCCCTTTCCTGCCAGAAAGCAGAGTTGGCAGGAAGCCAAGGCTCTCCCTTGGGAATGGAATCCTGTTACTCATTAACCCAGTCGCTTCCTTTTGGTCCTCCTTTTCCTCTGGAAAAAAAAAAAATCCCAGTATGTGTGCCTGATCCCCATACCTCTCCGGAATGGTTTTTGTCCCTCAGTGTTTGCATCTGTACATTAGGGAGAACCATGTTTGAGCTAAGAGAATAGCTAATAAACATAACTTTGAATTATTTAGATTTTAAAAATTACTGGGGCACCTGGGTGGCTCAGTCTGTTAAGCTACCTCAGCTCAGGTCATGATCCATGGTTCATGAGTTCAAGCCCCACGTCGGGCTCTGTGCTGACAGCTCAGAGCCTAGAGCCTGCTTTGGATTCTGTGTCTCCCCTCCCTCACTCACACTCTGTCTGTCTGTCTGTCTGTCTGTCTCTTTCAAAAATAAATAAATAAACATAAAAAAAAAGAACAAAATTATTCACTAAATGCAATGAGTGAGCATGAATGACAATATAAAATGAAGGACAGGAATTGCTCTGGTGCCTAAAATCATTCTCACAAAAAATTAACAAGGCATGTTAAGGAGTCACAGCATTTGCTTAATGCCATTTTCTGCACATTTGCTAAGGATCCTAATATCAACTTGCTAGAACAGAGGGAAGGTTTTGAGGATGAGTTCTAATACCAACACTCAAATGGAGTACATTTTTGTGAAACAAAAATTTTGAAATTATCTGCTTGTTACTGGAATTATTTTGAAATAAAAGTATAGAAGAGTGAAACAGAAAACATATCTCTGCCTTAGGGTCAGACTGGAGAAGCTAAACTTTTAGTTTAGCAAATTATTTGCAGCACAAAAAAAAAATTCAATAGCCACAGAACTCTTCTAAGAGTTTAGGATCTGTTTTGTGTGTAATATCTCAATACCTTTGAATTCTAGTTTAAAAGACAAGTGGGGGAGGCAGGGACAGAGCCTTGGCAGACGAGTGTTTAATAACCTAGACTCAGAGAGCAATACATGGCGGGCTGAGCCTGCCCCCTGGGTTAGCACGCTAACAGGAAACAGCTCAATCTGGATTTAATCAGAGACCATCATCTCACTGACAAGATCGCGATACCGAGGCCACAAAAATGTTTCAGGATTTGGAGGAGGGTGGGGGACAATCTCTCTTCCATTAGACATCTTTTCCTGAGAGAACATGTCTGACTTCTATGGGGTAAATATCTACAATTCTGCCCAACTGTCCTAGCTGAATTTCCATAATTATCAGTTCTGGCATGAGGGGGACAGGAGGCAAACAATGTGTGAGATGAAATGTACCGTATTTCAATTCTGTTGCCAGTCACAGAGAAATGCATTCTTTCACCTTCCAAAACATAAACTGTTAACAACTTGAGTGTTTCTAACTTGAAAAAAAAAATTTCCTTCAATCCAAATAATACGTCAGTCATCTGATGCTTCAACAGAGGATGTGCTACGTCCACAAGGTCGTTAGACTGGAGACAGTATGACGTCTCCATCCAAGACATGCTCAACCTTCAGAACACCAGTTCTCAGGCATCCTGGCCTGAGCAGAAATGTAAACAGTGAGTATTATTCCAGCCATAACCCTCTAACAAAATCTAAAACCCACGTCCAAGATTTTTACAGACTTTAGGAAGGTACACATTGCTAGCTCTACATTCATCCTCGAGCACCAAGGGTCCGTGCTATACTCCTGTCTCAAACCCTCCCCTCACCAATCCACCAAGCCACCACAGACAGGAGAGGCCATGGTGGATGCACAAAGAAGCTCTGTATTGCCCGAACACGTACACATGAGATGTTCCTGCCATGCAAGAGGAAAAACACACGAATGTGATGGCACATAGCACAGTGTACGGCAAGGCCAGTGCATCTGAGTATTGTGAGCTCTTTACACATAAGACGCTGAGAGATGCGAGGCACAGTCTATACAGAACCCTCGGCCAACTGATGTCAGTTCAGTGTGAGCTTCTGAACTGTGTGAACTTCTCTGGGTGTGAACTTGATTTTTTTCTAGGTTAAGTTTGCCAGGATGCTTAAATTTTAACTTTAGGAAAATAAGGAATAATAGGATAACGGGGGGGGGAGGGGCTAAGTATGTCCTGTGTATTATTTAGGACCTATTGATACTGAAACATTATTAGTTGTTTACATAAATTTCAAACTTAACTCTTGGCATACTGTATTTTTA